TGTTTTTCTTAAATTATATATTAAATATATTTTCGTATATTTCAAAAAGAATTATTTCTTGTTCTTCCAGAGCTTATGATGGCTTCATTTGACTGCGAGGAACCAAACAATGCTGAGAAGCTAATGTATGACCTAAATTAAATGAAATTAAATAACTAAAGTAACATAACGCAATAACATCGCATGGAGGCCATGGAGGCGTACCTCATAGGGCACAGCTGCTGACTGCTTCTACAGGGTATTCCCAGCGCGATCCTTATTGTTCAGGCGTCTCAAGTCGACTCACTTCCTCCCCGTGGGGGCCTCCGGTAACGTTTTGACGAGCATCCCTAATGCCTCCAAAGCGGCCAAAGTGAGCGGCGATCAGATCTGCACAGATGTTGATGTCGGTGTCCTGGAATAAGAGGCATTCATCCAATTTCTTAATTTTACTACAGCTCAATGTGAATAATAAAAATTTATATAAATATATACATATGTAATCTAGTTCCCCTGATTGTTATAGGTCGCGATTATTGTTAAGTTTCTAAAAAAAATATATGTTTAAATATACTATGAATAAATATATGTATATTTTAAATTCTGACAATCGACAAACTTTCGTTTCTCACTTCAAAGTTAAAGCCGGAGTTTACATTAGCTACTCACATACACACCCACACACACACACTCACGCACACACACACTCACGCACATACACACACACGCATCAGTTGCAGTCGCTATGTAAACTTTGAGCTGTGCCAAGAAGCCAGCCACATTTCCTATGTGTATGTGTGCATATATGTATGTGTGTGTGTGTGAATTTAGAGCCTAAAATGAAAGCCAAGCGCATTTCGCAACAAAGCACCAAGTGTCGAAGATTTTGCCAGCAAAAAGATAGCAGCACAAAATCAGCCATAGTTCCCAAGGACTCGAATGAATCTGTCTCTCTCTCTCTCCCTTCCTCTCTTTCTCTCTCCCCCTCTCTCTCGCTCTCACTCACACTGTCTGCTCTCGTGTGTGCCAGTAATGTCTTTTGCCAGGCTCTGAATTATGTTACAGTCAGCAGATATTTATGCAGCCTAATGCATTCCATGTAATAGGTTTTAAAGATTTAGAGCTCTGCCAGCCACGTGAACAAATGTGGCTAAGATGAGCTGCGTGGCGCGGATAGCTAACGGAATCAGCGAACAGAATGCATTACTTTGGCTAAGAGCTCAATTGAAAATTGAAAATGGAAAAATATTAGAAACTTAATTAATTTGATCTTTACTTGTAAATATGTTACTGAAACATGGTACCATGGTACCAGAAATGTATATCTATCCTATCTTTATGATACGTTAAGGACCCAAGGATAGATCTACTTGCAATTTCAGCTCAACAAAATTCTTAACAATTACTAATTTTTTTTTTTTTAATATATTTTTTTTTGTCAGTTAAAAACGATTTTAATTATCGAATTCTTTTGCTATTTTTCTGTCTCTCTGATTGCACAGTAAACCCAAACACGTGCCGTTGATTAAATTGAAGTGCATTCACCTGCCTGGGCACAAAAGGATCAATAAATTATGTGAAAGGTCTTGATTGTGCAGCATGGGATGTGGCACTGTAAAAGCAAACGATTTGTCTTCAACTCCGCGCACACGTTCCACATGTCTCATGTGTGTTTATGTGCTGGTGTGTGTGTAACAAGTGTGGCAAGTGTTGCAAGTGTTGCACATAAATTCGGTAGCCGGTTGCAACACTTGCCAACCAACCACAGACTAAATAAAACGCAGAAGTTTCAATTCTAAAGTTTCGCAGGAGGAGCAGCAGCAGCAGGAGGAGCAGCAACGGGTTTATTTTAGTTGTTCGGCTCGACTAAATGCACTTGACCAACAAATTTAAAGCAATTTGTTGCCCGAACGTAAACATTTAACTCGAGCACAGATAGCAAATAATGCATTTGTTTCAGATAACAAACCGGAGAAATACATATTCAAGTTCCACTTGCATTTCTGCTGCTGTGCTGTGTGAACTTTCGTGAAATAGTTTAGCACTTCAGGTTTGAATAATTTGGTTATTAAGTGGATTACATTGAAAAGAATTGATCAAACATAGAGAGTAGCTGAAGTAATTAATGTGTTATATTTAAACTATAAATATTATTTACTTCAGTTTATTTTATATAAATTTCTATTTTAGGTACATATCACATTCCATTCCACTATTTAAATATACATATTTCAATATACTATTTAAATA